AAATGGAATTTAAAGTCTATAATTTGCCTTGCTGCTTATCTGTTTTTGTCATCACTGTTACATACAAGAAATACAGTGGTTGCCAAACCAATAGACCCATATCTCCAAAACCCTACATCTTTTTGCTCTGATACTCTAGGAATATGAGCTCTAAATGTCAATCTGAGACTGACAGAAAAAGGTGTCAAATTGGTAAGAAAAAAATTTTGGAACCACTGAGTCTTTCAAGAGAGTCTCACGTTTTGGCAATTGCTCATATAATAGACTGAAATACTTAAGTCAAACAAGACCCCAGCACGACATTGAACTCTGACATGTTGTTGACTGGATACATGTATATTGTACGCGTGTGTGCTCCCTTTTTCGAGCTGGTGAACTAGTAATTTTTTTTCCGGAAATATTGCTGGACACCCTGAACATTTTACTATTACTGGTTGGTCGGTCGGTCGGTCATGGGGAATACACATTTTCCCCTCATAATACACATTTTCATATTTCCCAATACTCATTTCTGTTTTCTGTGGTTGACATCTCTGCAAAGAGCGGTTTTTAACTCTTGTCCTGCATCTGTGCTGAGATGCGAATCTTATCAGCTACCGATTACGTTGGACGTGCCGGGCAGGCCGCCGGGGTCACTCAGTGTGTATTGTTGGTGTACAGCGCGCGCGCGCCGGGAAATGTGTTTTCGCCATGAATACCATGGGAGTGTGTTAATTGATGATGAAAATAACGCTCTAAAATCTTTCATAGCTTTTTATTTATGAAGTGTTACAAACACATGAATAACCCCCTCTCATAAGCTGATAAGACATTACGAGAAGTTACGCCCATTCGAATAACCTTTCTGGACGCTCTTGTTGCTATGAATGACATGAGGTTCGAAAGGGGATAATATAGGTCAATTTCCGAATGTTTTGCACTCAAATTGTTCTTTATTACCTGCACAATGGTATTCAAAACTATCAAACAAGCTTATTTTTTTATCACATAGTTCATTTCATACAAAATCAAGCACATTTAAAAGATTTTTTATAGAAAAATGGAAGTCTTGTTTCCTGACTATCCTTTCGAGCTCCTCATGTCTAAGGGGGTCAATTTCTTCTATAATTTCATTGGACGAACATCTAGAGCTACCAACTTGGGGGTGTTTTGAATGAGACGTATGCTTCGATTACGAACCAACACAGACGGTTCTAGAAGAAGGCCACAAACACACAAACTCAAGCAGACTGACACACACACACTTGACCTGCGTGAATGGGGGTGCGACTCGGGACCTGAATTTCACGGAAGATGATACGCGTGCGCTGAGCCAGGGGCTACACTGATTCAGGACCAGAACGTAGGCGAGGTGCCGAAATAGACTTATCGGGGGACATAAACCCGTCCCCCGCAGGACGAGGGTTAATATAGGCCTAGCCAGGGCCCAAAGAGAAAAACTTTATTACTGGATCAAGATTTTTAAAAAAAATGGGTACTGCTTAATGCCGAAACCCGTCGAAATCATAAAGCGCAGGCCTGGGCAAAATATGCCCTGGAAGCGTGCAGGTCATATTATATAAGAGGGATCTTACCCTATTGAATTTAGTTTGTGTGATCTTGTGTGTATTGACAACAGTAGGCTATAGTGAGCAAAGAAAAAGGAGGGGGGGGGGAGGGCTGAGGGTGAAAATTCAGCCAGGATAAATTTCATGTTGAAACTGCTGAAAATTTCTTTTTTTAAAGCAGAATTGTAGTTTTGTTGTTGTTTTAAAATGATAGAATAAGGGGGGGGGGGGGGGGGAGGATTTGAAATTCTTTCATATCAACAGATTTTACGTATGGCTTTGCGTTAATCAAGTAATTGTTTTGCTTTTCAGGAACCTTCATTTTACTTTGTCAAGGCTATTGCCATCTTGGATAATGATGGCAATAGGATGCTGGCAAAGGTAAGTTGTTTTAGTTGTTTATTATTATGCTCAATCAATCATAAAAGTAGAAGCAAGATAAGATATTTAATTAAAGTATTGGGAATGGGTTTGTTGAGCTTTGTTTTACATGAAGCTAATATATAATCAGTGGAGTCCACTCAAACATTTCTTCAGTGTATCCAAGTTTGCAGTTTAATCAAAGAGAAAAAGAATTAGGGAATTTTACGTTCTTTCTGTTTTAACCCTGTCCGGTTTTTAAGCTGATTCCACTATATATGTCTATATGATGGTTTTCTTTCAATGAAGTGTATATGACATTATTTCGTATGTGTTTTTTTGGTTTTGTTTCCCTTTTTTTTCTGAGTATTGTGCATTTATATAAAAATTAACCTTTTTTTAATCAGTATCTAACACCAGCCTGAGACCTGAAACTGAATTTCATGCATTTAACAAAATATGATCCATTTTTTTCCGGTTAGACTGAAATTCTCCGGGAGTGTCTCACTGATATTTTTATTTACAGAGAACCCATTGTAATGGAAGAAGAATTTCGGTAAAAATGTTAACATAACACATCTCAACTCTTGATCATGTCCATATTGGCTTTGTAATCAGAATTAGCATTTAAAAATAGTATGTTTTGCCCCCCCAAAATCCTTCTGTTAATTCTAGAAAATGCTGCTAAGTAGTTAAGTGGGGGGCTGTTCTACGAAGATCTAAAAGTTTTCTGTATTGTATTGATTAAAAAAGTAATACTTTATTTTCAGTATTATGACGATTCATTTCCTACAGCAAAGGAGCAGAAAGAATTTGAAAAGAATCTGTTCAACAAAACTCATCGAGCGAATGGTGAGTAAATCTAACTTTGTTACATACAATTGAAATTGTCTTTGACGGCCACCTGTTGTAGAGGAGAAAAGTGGTTGTGTCATAGACTACAGGTGGCCCATCTTACACACTGTCATTATAATGTAAAGAATGTAACGCAAGGGAGGAAATACCTGAAGTGGCCTTTTTGTACAAGGCGGAAAACACACAGGCAATGCTGGCATTTACTTCAAATGGTCTATTTTGGCAATTTTTCAAAATGAATGCACAGTATTGAATATGGTATCAAAATTTAGCTCAAACCCTGCAGATTTCAGAAATGTTTGTGTCATGGGCAACAGCTATCTTGTTATGTAATAAAGGGCACATAATCACAGGTACCCTGGTGTAAACGTTTAATTAACATAAGTTCAATTTACTCACTTAAAAGTGATTTCAATTGCTTATCTATGCAATAATGTCTTCCAAACTGAAAGCAGGACCCATCCTGATATACTCAGAGCATATATAAGCAAAAACAAGCACAAAATTCAAGAATTTATGAAAAGGGGAGACAATTAAATGAAGCTGACCAATGCACGGTTTACACAAATATATTTATTACACCAATTAATGAGTGGACATGAGAAAAAAAATGGAAAAATGAAAATAATGGCCTTGAGCTCTAATGCCTCTTGTTAGTCCTTTTGTATTTGTCCAGGTGAATAAGTCTGGTGATCCCTTATTTGTGATTAGACCAACATCGTTGCTCTTGGAAAAGATGTCGCTGGGGCTGCTCTTTTCCATAAATCTCACACTGAAGTCATCCTCCTTGAGCATTTTAACCTTAACCTACAGGAAAAAATCAAATAACACACCCTGAGAAATAAAGAACTTAGTTGGGAAAAACAGCAATTATTTGTAATAAATATTATGATCTGATTTGTTAAATTTCAATTGGAACTAACATTTTTAGCCGTTTATTAACCATGGCAGAATATGCCCACCCTTGCCTTTTTGGCCTCTATTTTTTCAGTAAGTAGTAGATGTTCTAGGCTTTTTTAAAATGTCAATTGAATGTATCACACCTACATTTGTCTCTTTCTTATTGTATTTATTAGTGAGTCCCTTGTAGGCCTTCTTTCTCGCATTCTGCACAACCTTATTTGATTTCTTTTCCTCATAACATGAAACAGCAGCCTCCTAAAGAAACATCTTTCTGTTGTGTCTAGACTAGATCTACTCTTTGTTCACTATCTTTGGTAACTGAAAACTTATATTCATGGCATAGCCATTCAGAAAGCTTGACTACGAACAGTTCCAAGGATTGTGTAGTTAAATCAAAGAGGTCTGGAGACACTCATGTCTATAAAGACTGACTTTAAATCATCATATCTTCTGGAATCTCTTCATTGTCAAATAAAAAACGAAGTGACTATTTCTCCGAACGTTCGGAGAAATAGTGCCAATCTTTATTTCTCCGAACGGTTTCCGGCTTCCGGTCTCG